ATAATTGACCCTAACCGCCATATAAGATCCCCTTCAGAAAATGTCTTTAACGCTCATTACTGTATTCAAAATGCAAGTATAGCGATGAAATTTGACTGAAGTAAGTTCCTTGCGAGCCAAAATCTTTTAACCAAATTTTATGTGGATTGGTCTATAATTGACCCTACCCCCTCGCTCATAAAGTTGATTGATCCCCATGCAACCTTCCCTTGAGAAAATGACTTTAAAGTTTATTACTGGCCTAAAAATACGAGTAAAGTGATAAAATTTATACACATTTTTATACACAATTTTATACGAGTTAAAATCTCTCTACCAAATTTAGTGCGGATCGGTCCAAAATTTACCCTACCCCCCATATAAGGTCCCCTTTAGATCATTTTTGGCTTAAAAATATATATTGATATAAGAAACTTTTACAGAAACTTAAATCTTCCTACCGAATACAAATGAGAGTACAGCGATTCTATTCTATGTAAACATGTTTATATGAACCAAAATCGGTCTAGAGCATTCCTTTTATGGCATATGGTTTGATGGTGGGTATATGAGATTCGGCACAGCCAAATATAACACTCTCACTTGTTTTAAATATACCTCTACTTTTAACCTAACCTAACAATACTTGTTATTTTTTAACTTTCATAACATCAAAGGCGTCTAAATATCCCTTTACTGGTGTGCTATTCTTAGTTGTTTCTATTTGGTTATTGTTGTCAATGTTTTTTTTAGTTTTGTTTCCACTTTTAAGAGTTAATGTCCCTGTTTTTTTTCCTTCTTTATTACATTATTTTTTTTTTTGGTTTGGTTAAGTTTATTTTACTTTTGGCTTTTGTTTATTGTTGTTTTGTTTGTAACTTGTTTTTGTGTATTTTGATTAACGTATATGACCCATTATAAATAATCTTTTTGTAAATGTTGTCATCTATTCTCGTTGTTACTTTTTTGTAGCTTTTCGTTCGTAGATAAAAATCTTATTTGTGAGTTTTGTTTTTAATTTCATGTATAATATTGTTATTGTCCTTTTTATCCTCTTTCCTTTAAGCTTTTGTGGTATATATTTACATTTGTATATGTTGAAGTATGTGTATTTATGGTGATTTGTTTTATTAATTGTTTGGCTTTTTAGATGCTCATAGGTACTCTACATCAAAAATTCAGTTCCTCGTGAAGTATCATCAACTTATTTCAAAATTATTTAGTTAAAATCTCTCCTAAGACTTCTCCAAAAATTCTATGAAATGTGCCGAAATAGCGAAATTTCTAAACCTTAGGAACCAAATATTTATTGCTGTCTTCACGATTTCAAAGTATTATATAATTTTCTTTACTTTCTCTTAGTGTAATTTGTAGTGGATCATTACTACCAAATTTCATTTGTATTGTGGTTCCCGATATAGTAGCAGAATGTTTTCTCCTAGTGGTATATCATAACTAATATAATTTAGAGCAAACAAGCTTTTTGTTTTATTAAATAAAAATAAATTAATATTTTTTATTACACTACTTTAACTCTTAATAATGTGTAAATATGTATGTGAGCGAAAGTATTTCGTTTGACTATGTCCTTGTTACTGTTGTAAAAAAGTCCAACACTTGTGCAAATTTTCTTTTTATTTTTCTCTAGAGTCCGACTATAGTACTATTTACTGACGTAAATCATTATTGAAAATATTCTGGTAAAATGGCCAAGAGCTATTGTGAGGTGCAGGTCTAAGGTGGGAGATAACATAGTTTTTAGTTTTTATTACAGTTTCGAGTGCTGTACTTATGTTTGAGTGAAACTGGCAGAAACTATGTATGTATATTTTGCGTATCTATAGTCTAGTCTATAGTCTAGTCTATGGTCTAGTCTATAGTCTAGTCTATAGTCTAGTCTATAGTCTAGTCTATAGTCTAGTCTATAGTCTAGTCTATAGTCTAGTCTATAGTCTAGTCTATAGTCTAGTCTATAGTCTAGTCTATAGTCTAGTCTATAGTCTAGTCTATAGTCTAGTCTATAGTCTAGTCTATAGTCTAGTCTATAGTCTAGTCTATAGTCTAGTCTATAGTCTAGTCTATAGTCTAGTCTATAGTCTAGTCTATAGTCTAGTCTATAGTCTAGTCTATAGTCTAGTCTATAGTCTAGTCTATAGTCTAGTCTATAGTCTAGTCTATAGTCTAGTCTATAGTCTAGTCTATAGTCTAGTCTATAGTCTAGTCTATAGTCTAGTCTATAGTCTAGTCTATAGTCTAGTCTATAGTCTAGTCTATAGTCTAGTCTATAGTCTAGTCTATAGTCTAGTCTATAGTCTAGTCTATAGTCTAGTCTATAGTCTAGTCTATAGTCTAGTCTATAGTCTAGTCTATAGTCTAGTCTATAGTCTAGTCTATAGTCTAGTCTATAGTCTAGTCTATAGTCTAGTCTATAGTCTAGTCTATAGTCTAGTCTATAGTCTAGTCTATAGTCTAGTCTATAGTCTAGTCTATAGTCTAGTCTATAGTCTAGTCTATAGTCTAGTCTATAGTCTAGTCTATAGTCTAGTCTATAGTCTAATCTATAGTGTAGTCTATAGTCTAGTCTATAGTCTAGTCTATAGTCTAGTCTATAGTCTAGTCTATAGTCTAGTCTATAGTCTAGTCTATAGTCTAGTCTATAGTCTAGTCTATAGTCTAGTCTATAGTCTAGTCTATAGTCTAGTCTATAGTCTAGTCTATAGTCTAGTCTATAGTCTAGTCTATAGTCTAGTCTATAGTCTAGTCTATAGTCTAGTCTAGTCTATAGTCTAGTCTATAGTCTAGTCTATAGTCTAGTCTATAGTCTAGTCTATAGTCTAGTCTATAGTCTAGTCTATAGTCTAGTCTATAGTCTAGTCCATAGTCTAGTCTATAGTCTAGTCTATAGTCTAGTCTATAGTCTAGTCTATAGTCTAGTCTATAGTCTAGTCTATAGTCTAGTCTATAGTCTAGTCTATAGTCTAGTCTATAGTCTAGTCTATAGTCTAGTCTATAGTCTAGTCTATAGTCTAGTCTATAGTCTAGTCTATAGTCTAGTCTATAGTCTAGTCTATAGTCTAGTCTATAGTCTAGTCTATAGTCTAGTCTATAGTCTAGTCTATAGTCTAGTCTATAGTCTAGTCTATAGTCAAGTCTATAGTCTAGTCTATAGTCTAGTCTATAGTCTAGTCTATAGTCTAGTCTATAGTCTAGTCTATAGTCTAGTCTATAGTCTAGTCTATAGTCTAGTCTATAGTCTAGTCTATAGTCTAGTCTATAGTCTAGTCTATAGTCTAGTCTATAGTCTAGTCTATAGTCTAGTCTATAGTCTAGTCTATAGTCTAGTCTATAGTCTAGTCTATAGTCTAGTCTATAGTCTAGTCTATAGTCTAGTCTATAGTCTAGTCTATAGTCTAGTCTATAGTCTAATCTATAGTCTAGTTTAAAGACTAGTCTATAGTATAGTCTAGTCTATAGTTTAGTCTAGTCTATAGTTTAGTCTATAGTATAGTCTAGAGTTTAGTCTAGAGTCTAGTTTTTAGTCTAGTCTGTAGATTAGTCTATAGTCTATAGTCTAGTCTATAGTCTAGCCTATAGTCTAGCCTATAGTTTAGTCTATAGTCTAGTCTATAGTCTAGTCTATAGTCTTATCTATAGTCTAGTCTAAAGACTAGTCTATAGTATAGTCTAGTCTATAGTTTAGTCTAGTCTATAGTTTAGTCTTGTCTGTAGTTTAGTCTATAGTCTAGTCTGTAGTCTAGTCTATAGTCTAGTCTATAGTCTAGTCTATAGTCTAGTCTATAGTCTAGTCTATAGTCTAGCCTATAGTCTAGCCTATAGTCTAGTCTGTAGTCTAGTCTATAGTCTAGTCTATAGTCTAGTCTATAGTCTAGTCTATAGTCTAGTCTAGCCTATAGTCTAGTCTATAGTCTAGCCTATAGTCTAGCCTATAGTCTAGTCTATAGTCTAGCCTATAGTCTAGTCTATAGTCTAGTCTATAGTCTAGTCTATAGTCTAGTCTATAGTCTAGTCTATAGTCTAGTCTATAGTCTAGTCTATAGTCTAGTCTATAGTCTAGTCTATAGTCTAGTCTATAGTCTAGTCTATAGTCTAGTCTATAGTCTAGTCTATAGTCTAGTCTATAGTCTAGTCTATAGTCTAGTCTATAGTCTAGTCTATAGTCTAGTCTATAGTCTAGTCTATAGTCTAGTCTATAGTCTAGTCTATAGTCTAGTCTATAGTCTATAGTCTAGTCTATAGTCTAGTCTATAGTCTAGTCTATAGTCTAGTCTATAGTCTAGTCTATAGTCTAGTCTATAGTCTAGTCTATAGTCTAGTCTATAGTCTAGTCTATAGTCTAGTCTATAGTCTAGTCTATAGTCTAGTCTATAGTCTAGTCTATAGTCTAGTCTATAGTCTAGTCTATAGTCTAGTCTATAGTCTAGTCTATAGTCTAGTCTATAGTCTAGTCTATAGTCTAGTCTATAGTCTAGGCTATAGTCTAGTCTATAGTCTAGTCTATAGTCTAGTCTATAGTCTAGTCTATAGTCTAGTCTATAGTCTAGTCTATAGTCTAGTCTATAGTCTAGTCTAGTCTATAGTCTAGTCTATAGTCTAGTCTATAGTCTAGTCTATAATCTAGTCTATAGTCTAATCTATAGTCTAGTCTAAAGACTAGTCTATAGTATAGTCTAGTCTATAGTCTAGTCTAGAGTTTAGTCTAGAGTCTAGTTTTTAGTCTAGTCTGTAGTCTAGTCTATAGTCTAGTCTATAGACTATAGGAATTGATAACATTTTGATTTTTATAGCGACTTTTGCAGAGCCTTTATTCTACGGTTTCTAGCGGTTTAAGTCTCTTTTTAGATGTTGCTACTTTTGTAGGGACAAGTTAACTTTGTAATCATTCTCATCTGACTCCTTAATTTTTAAATTCATTAACTGCCTGAGGTCATTTGTTACCGTCTGCTGTTATAAATAAAACCACAATTTTCATTAATTCTTTTACAGCAATTATAACATTTTATTTATTTCTTTTGTTCCAAAATCGATACCATAATATTTCCCCTAGAAATACAAAAAACGCCATTATAAAATATCTCAACATTGTTAGCCAAAGGTAAGAAAAATCCGTAAGTTCCAACATTACAGACTTTTTTACAACTATACGATCTTTCTGCAAATATATCATTTTCATTTTCACTAAATCAATATAGCTGGTCTTAAGCCAAAATTCCAATAGGCCCATATCACGTGCACGTGTAATCAAACGATTTAACGAATCCATAAACAATGAATCAGGAGGTAAAACGAAGGTCATGAGAGACGTGTTAGGAAAGCACATCCGAGTTAAACGAAATATCGGTTTATTCCTATAAGTTTGGAGAGCATTATACATAAACCAAAGAGACGAAGAAATGGGATAGGCATATGAAGTATTGAGAGAAGATTGAGCTTGAGAAAATTCCTTATAGTTTTGAGCAACTTTGAAGATTATGGACATACGTTCAGATGAAAAATTATAATATTGCATCATATATAGGTAATCGTTTTTAGGAATTAAGACACGTAAATTATAGAAAGATAAATCTTTTAAACTTTTTATGCGATAGGTATAAGGATATGTAAGAAAGACTTGCATTCTTGTGGATAATATAATTGTATAAGTTAAACCGGAAAGGAATGTGCTGATATATAATAAACGTAAACTTTTTGAAGGATTTGGCAGTAGTTTAAAGGAGCCACCAAACATGCCAGACACAATATTTAAATTCATCAAGATGTCATTAAATCGTATAGTATAGGATCTAAGTTTTTTGTGTAAACTCCACAATTTAGTGCTAAGTACTAGAAGGATAGAAAAAACATATTGTATTGTAATAAAATATGTAATGAAATTATTATCAGAATACTTTTCTAAATAATCTTGGTACGTTAAAGGTGGCTCTATGGGTACAATTATACACCATTTGTTAATTTCGTATATTTTGGATATAATAAAGGTATTATTGAGTAAGACATAATTACTCAAACTGGCTGGTATATCAATGAGTTCCTGTTGAGTTAATTTATAAATATCTTCATAAAATAAAGATTCACCCACAGTTATGTTTAGGGGAAACTGTAAAGTGCCATTTATGTATTTTGTAAATAAATATAAAAATTTCATAATATAACCTTTGACCTGTAAGCCAGCCGACTTATCTATAAATGCGGCAGTTCTAGGTAATACTTGATCAGGCATTGTTCTCACTGCAGCACCATACAAATTTTTAAATTTGTTGGGGAATATTACTAAAGGATTGTCATTTAAATTCTGCTTTTCTGTGATTAATTTAGGAAATATTTGATATTGATATAGATTTTGTTTTTTATGAAAATCTTTAAATATTAATACTAAATTAGGAAATTTATAAAATTTACAGTAATAAAAAAATTCCTTAACCACACTTATATTAACATTATTTTCCAATGCATTTTTAATTACCACCATTTTATTATATCTCTTAAATCTTAAGATATCCGCCAAGATTTTCAATAAATCTTTGGCATATTCCTCATGCCAATATGTTATTGATAGAAATTTCGTATGATAACCACAGCATTTCTTTTCATTGGTCAAATCTTTTTTCAGTACCAAAACTTTCTTCAAATCCTTTTGCAAGATTTCTTCCAGAGGATAATCCTTAATTGGCTTGCCAAATATAATACTAGTTTTGAAGAATTCCTCGTTCTCAATTTGTTGCAGAAACTTTTTGTATATAATTTTTCTATATCCATCTTGTTTTAGAGGTTGTTGTAGATTTTCATATAATTTATTTGCAAAACATAATTGCCACATTAAAGTCGTTGCGGCAAATAATTTAAAAATATTGAATTTTATCGAAAACATGGTTGATTAAGTTCTAATAACAAACTGTTTGTGCAACGCCTGAAGCATTTCCATAAATATGCGATTTTTTCTGTACCCTTCTTTTGATAGAAAGTATAGTCATTTGGGCATTTGTTTTGTAAAACTGGATTATTACTTTGATGTTCTAAAAAGTAGTTTGATTTTTGTGCTGACTCACTAGCATAAGCTGGTCCCATTATTTTACCCGTAAAATGTATACATATGTATGCACATATATAATCAAACAAACCCATGATGCAATCAAAGATGTCGATAATATGAATACTATTATACGACGGATCCGCATAATCGTGCAATTCTATACTGTCAAAATTTATCAGATTTGATTACTGAGAAAGCAGGACAAATGTATAGAATTTGTTCAATCGTATTCTCTTTGCTCTCTTTATGACAGCTTCTACAGTACTCATTAATTAAAGATTCAATCTTCTAATATACTACGCTTTGTAAATATAGCTGTCTCACTCGCAAAAACCTCAACGACTAACGTATTACGACGATTTGATTTCAGTTTTGTGTTGAAGATATCCCGTTTAAGCCAGTTAATATGCTGTGCTATTCCTAGATATATATGTCATAAAGATCAGGCACTCAGAGTAGCTTCAGGTTCTAAAGATTTGTCTTATCGCCATTCATAAACAAGACTTGATGAAGCATAGAAAAGCCACCATCCATACCCTTTAGCGACTTGGATCCATTGCGTAGATTTCGACAGAGAATATCCGAATTAAAGATGAATAATAATCGACAAAACACTGTCCCGTTCCAGAAAAACGCAGGCTAATATATTTTGGTAGAAGCATTATTCGCAATCATGATAGACTATCTCAAGTATGTAAAATTTTTTAAAAGTTCGAGTTGATACTTTGGACGATCATTTCATTTTAACGCAATGGGAATCATTTAAATGGTTTCAAAATGGTCTTGGGCCAGTAATATTGGTTCTGTAAAATCGAAGTGAATAGGGATTCTAATTTCCCCGGTAGGTTTCCAGCAAAAATAAAACGAAGTACTTTGAAAATAATAACATTTATCTTAAAAAGCAGCACTAATTGAATTTTATTATCAATGTTGAAGGTATATTTTTTGTTCGTACATTTTTATGAGATAAACAATGTCTATTGCCCAAATTAATGCTAATATTATTTAAGTCGAATTAGTTGTATTCTATAATACTACAATTTCACTTCCGAATAACTTCCAAAAATAGATCATTAAAATTACTTCTTGAGAAAGTGTTTTTCAGTACTTCCAATTCTACTTCTTTTCGCTTCTTTTGAAGTTATTTTTTGCTGGGTTAGTGGTTAGCGTTCTAGTCTGGTAGACCGGCGGTGGTGGGTTCGATTCCTACCTTAGGCACTTATTGAGGACGAAACAGCAGGCCCTCTACTGCCTAGGCGTATTCCTTGGTATTAGTAATTAACTAACTAACAAACAAACAAACAAACAATCTAACTAACTAACTAACTAACTAACTAACTAACTAACTAACTACTACTAACTAACTAACTAACTAACTAACTAACTAACTAACTAACTAACTACTAACTAACTAACTAACTAACTAAACTAACTAACTAACTAACTAACTAACTAACTAACTAACTAACTAACTAACTAACTAACTAACTACTAACTAACTAACTAACTAACTAACTAACTAACTAACTAACTAACTAACTAACTAACTAACTAACTAACTAACTAACTAACTAACTAACTAACTAACTAACTAACTAACTAACTAACTAACTAACTAACTAACTAACTAACTAACTAACTAACTAACTAACTAACTAACTAACTAACTAACTAACTAACTAACTAACTAACTAACTAACTAACTACTAACTAACTAACTAACTAACTAACTAACTAACTAACTAACTAACTAACTAACTAACTAACTAACTACTAACTAACTAACTAACTAACTAACTAACTAACTAACTAACTAACTAACTAACTAACTAACTAACTAACTAACTAACTAACTAACTAACTAACTAACTAACTAACTAACTAACTAACTAACTAACTAACTAACTAACTAACTAACTAACTAACTAACTAACTAACTAACTAACTAACTAACTAACTAACTAACTACTAACTAACTAACTAACTAACTAACTAACTACTAACTAACTAACTAACTAACTAACTAACTAACTAACTAACTAACTAACTAACTAACTAACTAACTAACTAACTAACTAACTAACTAACTAACTAACTAACTAACTAACTAACTAACTAACTAACTAACTAACTAACTAACTAACTAACTAACTAACTAACTAACTAACTAACTAACTAACTAACTAACTAACTAACTACTACTAACTAACTAACTAACTAACTAACTAACTAACTAACTAACTAACTAACTAACTAACTAACTAACTACTAACTAACTAACTAACTAACTAACTAACTAACTAACTACTAACTAACTAACTAACTAACTAACTAACTAACTAACTAACTAACTAACTAACTAACTAACTAACTAACTAACTAACTAACTAACTAACTAACTAACTAACTAGCTAATTAGCTAACTAACTAACTGACTAACTTTTTATGTTATCCTGATATTAAATAATTCAAATATTTAGGGATGTCATACAATCCAATAACTGTCGGAATTGGATTTGAAAGTTGCAAAAAACCTGATCAAACCTGAAACAACATCCAATAATGCAGGATATTGAATATTAAAACAAATTAATAATGTCTTTTGTTATGTATTAAAGATATAAGTTCTCAAATCCAAAGTAAATAGTCAAATCGTGATCGTGCATGTTATTGATAATAATATTGTTTTTCTCAAATCAAGTACCGAGTATTTTTAACAGTTGTGTTTACAAATTTTTAACATATTAGCTTTAGGACTTTTAAATTCGACTTTTACCAATCTATAGTTTATTTGTTTAATCAAACACTTTTTATTTTTCACATTCCGTTTATACATTATTTTATTTATTAGATTTCATTAAATTTTAATTAGATTTTTTTCTGTTATTTTTTTCGCAATAAAAATAAATGTTCAAATTGAAATGGATTTTAAAAAAATACAAAAACAATAATGTTATTCATAATGAAGGTACAATATTAAATTTATAACACTGATTTAAAATATAGATTAAAATAAATCTTTAATTTAAAATAACTATCGAAAGAAAATTGTTTAGTTTAATACAAAGAACTTGAATAAGTTGAAAATCAGAGGTATAAAATTGTAAATCAAGAAATTCCTACTGTAAATCCAAAGTGTTTTTTTCGTTGATCATTTTAAAGAGCGATAAAAATCGCTTATTTAAATACATATGTACCTACCAATCTCAATACATATTTTAATACCTTTTGTAAATAGCACCACAATTAGATTATTTTTATTACAATTTCACTTTTTATTTCATATAATAATAGGTTTCAAATACAATAATCTTAAAATAGAATAACGATAAAACCAAAAAATTTCTATTAAAAATATCGCCAAACTAACACCAAACGCTTTGAGCATTGTAAATAAAACATAATAGAAATCTTTAGCTTGTATATACGAAATATGTTCAGCATTTACTGATATATCGGACAAACTCATTTTGCCAATTTTAACTAAATCATAGAAATTATTTTGCAGCCAGTGATGCACAAAACCCATATCACGCACTCGTGTTATAAGAGTATCAAGTTTTAGTTTATGCAAAGAATTTGGAGGTAAAATAAAACCCATTATATCTAAATTAACGAAACAAAGATCTGTGCGACGAAATAGAGGTTTAGAGAACAGCTGCTGTTGTGTCTGATAGACATGCCAGACAGAAGAGGTAACGGGATAGGAATAGGCAGTATTAAAGGAACCACGAATTTCCGAAAATTCTTTATAAGAATCTATTATGTGAAAGAGAGATAGGTAGGGTAGAAAAGTAGAACCCGATAATTTAAGTAGGGTTTTATATTCATTTTGGGCAGCTAAAATTTTACGTTTGTATTTGAGCATATCATCCAGGGAATTTATTTGCTGGACTGAGGGATGAGTAAGAAAAGCATTGAGTTGTACTGAAAATGTGGTGGTATATAGAAGTCCCGATAAAAATAAAGACACATAAATAATGCGTAACGATAAAATTGGATGAGGATGTAGTGAAAAAGATGAACCCAAGTGGCCTAATATAACCTGGGGATTGGCCAAGATATCGGCTAAATTCCAAGAAAACTTTTGTTTTCTACTTAAACAGAGTAAGCGTTTGGAAGTCATTAGTAGAGAAGTGAAAATGGTATTCATTATTAAAATACCCACTATAGTATAGATATTTATATTGTCCTTCAAAAAATCCTGATAGGTGAGAGGCTGCTCTACAGGCATCATTAGGCACCAGTTTAATACCTCATACATATACGACATTAATTTGCTGGTATTATCACCTGCCATGGGTGTTATACTGCAAGGTATATCTAATAAATCCATTTTAGTCCAATTAAAAAAATCGCGATAAAATAAAACTTCTCCTGCTACCAAATTATCGGGATATTTAATGGTACAATTTATGTATTTACCATACATGCGTATAAATTGTGCTATATAGCCGGTGACACGTAACTGACCCTTGGCATCAGTATATACCACAGATCTGGGCATTATTTGGTCAGGTATAGTTCTTACTATCTCGCCGTATACATTATTCATTTTACTGGGATACAGTTCCCCACTAAAGGACTGATTATTATAGTTATTTTTTACCACTTCAAAATAAGGAAATGCATTGTATGAATAATACATCTGGCTGTTGGGAAAGTCCTTAAACACCACTATGACATTAAGAAATTTATACAATTTACACATTTGCAATAATATCTTCGTTGCGTTTTCACTTTCCTTTACTGTCACCTGCTGTTCCACAAATATTAAACGTGTAAAACGTTTTAAATCCAATTTATCACCCAAATCCCTTATAAAAGGTTCTATATTTTCTTTCTCTTTTAATAAATTTTTTGGTATAAACACTATACTTATGAAATTATTAACAAATATATCTAGATCATAATTAACTGTAAAATTTCCATTTAGTAAAACACATTTCTTCAGTTCCACTTCAAGTAAGTCCAATAGAAATTCCTGTTGGATTTCACCAACTATAAGAGCATAATCAAAATAAGCTTCCATATCGATTTGTCTCAATACCGATGACCACAGCTGTTTTTGGTTTTCTTGGCGGCTTATTGCAATAGGTGAATATTCTTCGATAACCAATGACACCGTTAGTTTTAGTATAAAAATTAATAAAAGGCTGGAAGTTTTCCGTTGTAGTCGTTTGTACATGGTTTAATTCTTATAGATTTTTTTAAACTGTTTGAATATATTTTACAACTTGTGCATGAATTTTATATGCATGTTTGCTGATAATTATTTAAATATAATTAAACGATTTTTTTCTGTGCTCTATTGTCCATAAACACCCTACAAGCTTTGGCTGACAATAGACTATATTAACGTGTTTCTATTTAGTTTAGCTTTCTTTCACATGTTTGTGTTTGTGAATCTGTCTGGGAGGGCAATTACCCCATTTATATCCGACTATGCCGAATCTTATATACCCAACATAAGAACATATATTCTGATGTGCAGCCCTGCATATGGACTTATGACTTTATGAATCCAATCCATTACCACGTTTTAATGATTAATTATATTTATGCTGAATACATAGGGCTGAATCTATAGGGCAATAGGGCCTTTATTGGGGACTTGGTCAATTATGGACCTGGCTTTACAGAATTTGAAAGAGTGATTAATTTCTAAGAATTTTTGAAGAATTTTTTATTATTACGACTTTTTGAATGATGTTTTGACAATAAACAGAATTTCTGTTCGGTTTCCTTGTTCCAATTTCATTTGCATTTTTTTCGAAATAAAAATATTTTTCCCACTTCGACGACCTCTTTGAATTCGTTTAGTATTCATCATAACAGATCATCCGTTAATGTTTAATGGTTAACAACACTGAAGAAGGCTTCGTTGGGTTCACTAGTTTATCGGTGGAAAATCTTTACGAGCTCTGACCTACCCCAAAAAATTTTAATAGTTTTTCTATTGTTAGCTACATAGTTTTATACTTTAAACGATTTTTATCTGCTAATTGTACTAATAAAAGGTCAAATACAAAAGATATACTATGCAAACGTTTAAATATATACAATAGAGTTTAGATAATTGAAATATTTTTTTAATAAACAAAATGTTAAGAAATTTAAAGCTAGTAATAGTGAATATGTAGTACTCTACACTATTATTATAAGAGGTATAATGTTCTCTCCACTATAGTGGTGTAGAGTATAAACTTTAACAAAATTCTTGTACTTACGCAATGACTTGTACTTACTCAACAACTTACATTTTAATGACTACCTCATTCCGCCTGCGTTACTTTTAAGTAGTTTTATAATTACTTTCATATAATCATATGTACAATCTCTGTATATGAACTTAAATTTTTGTATATGGCTGACGTCGCTCTATTTACAAGAATATTGCTCAAGTACTCGGTCTATCTAATCTATACCAATTGCAGTCCCGTTGCGGAATGTCCTGTAATCTTCAGACCATATCGAAAGCCATCCTCGACAATATTCTCAACCACTATGTTCTGATTTTCTCTGTTCGGCAACAGCAGCTGGAGACGTATTCGGTAGACCGAAGTACGATCTACATCAATAATACACATTTACACGGGTGTGTGAGTGAAGTCCTGCACACCCCTGACTTAATCTATATGATGTTCTAGTGATATCACCTGTGTCGGGTTCTGTTGAGACTGTACCGTACATTCTCCTCCCGTAATTTGGGATTCAATCACAACCACTACCTGTACCCCATTCGGACCTCACCAAACTATCAGGTACATAAAAATTCTGCGGACTACTGATTCCCGTAGTCGCAGATAAGCAGAGATTAGACCAAATCGCTCGTAAAAAACAGCGGCGACTCATTTGACTCCTCCCCTTTCTAGTCCCGGTAGCATATCTATTCTTCTCACATTGAGGTAAGAGCGGTTCATAATTGTAACATTCCCCGGAGAAAATTTTAAACAACCAAGTTAGAGTGCTATATTCGGCTGAGCCGAATCTTAAATACCCTCCACCAGCTACTTTTACATTAATACTTTTCTAATTTATCAAATATTTATAGAAATAACTTAAACTTAAACAACCTAAATCTATTACAATTCCAAGATTTATTGAACATTACAAACCCCATTTTCTTTTATATTTTTATAGCGCTTAGCAATATTTAGTAATTTGGATGTATGCATGTGTATGAAAGGATTTTCAAAATACATATATATATAATTTTGTTCTACACAAATTGATAATGCAACTAGTTAAATACGGTTAAAGCGCTTTTAGGGGCAGGACCTAGTATGGGAGATATGACCAATTATAGACCGATCGAAAAAAATTCTTTAAGTAAAATTTCTGTACATAAAAGCTATATTTCAGTAAAATTTTGTACCTATATCGTAATTTAGTAATAAGTATAGTGTGTTTAAGTGATTTTCTGAAGGGAACCTTGTATGGGACCGAGCACATGTTATGAACCGATCGTGAAAAAATCTTGAAATAGAATTTTTGTATACAAAACTAATATTTGTGCCAAATTTTGTATCAATAGCTTTATTTGGTAATGAGTAATGTGCGTTTAAGAGATTTTTGTATAAGAAACTTGTATGGGAGCTATGACCAATTATGTATATAAAGTTGAAGTTAGTGATTTTCGGGAGAGAAACTTGTATGTGAGCTATGACCAGTTATGGACCGATCGTAAATTCATTTTATAGTAATATTTCTGTGCATATTTCTCAGTAATATTTTCGTGCATATAAGCAATACTTGCACCAAATTTCATATGGATATCTTAATTTAGTAATGAGTTATGCGCGTTTAAGTGATTTTCGGGAGGGGACCTTGTATGGGAGCTATGTCGAATTATGGACCGATGCAAAAAATTTTTTCTCTAAATGAATTCTATTGATATAAGACTATAATTTGCAAAATTTTGTGAAGATATCAACATTATGGCGGAAGTTATTAACAAAAAACCCATTTTCTGGGAATATGTACTTTTGTATGGGAGGTAAATGAAATTGTGGACCGATTCTAGTAATTTTCAGCAGGGATCAAGATCTTATATAGAAACGAATGTATGGTGATTTCCATGGAATTATCTTGCATAGTTTTCGAGAAAATTACATCAGAATGTGTAAAAAATGCTTATTTTTTTCCGAGGTTGTTTTAAATTTTGATTCATAACTTTTCCCGGTGTGAACCGATTTTGCCCATTTTCAATACCAAACAACTTAGGGAAATGAAGAACATTTCGGGTGAATTTGGTTAAATTCTATTGCTTCGTTTTATCGTGAGCGTGTTTTACACAGACAGACGGACAGACGGACATAGCTAAATCGACTCAGGATTTGATAAGGACCCAGAATATATATACTTTGTTGGGTCTCAGATGAATATTTCTTGGTGTTACACACGGAATGACAAAGTTATATATACCCTCTATCACCACTGATGGTGGTGGAGGGTATAAAAACTTCCTAATCAGAAATTGTCTGTAGAGGGGATGAGGTTCCATCATTTTAATGCATTCCTCGACAAGTGATCGTGTAGCCACATCAAATATATGGAATCTGTTGAGATGCCAAAGCTCCTTAAGATTATCCGAAATATTATATAAGGCTTTATCGAAAATTCTTTTTTCACGATTGAAATGTCACAGCTCCCCGAAGGAACTGCAGCTATAACCTGTTTATGACAAGCCCTGTGGTTGAGAGAGGTTCATGTCTTGCCCGATATGAACTAATAAGGTCAGCCCCCAGTCCAAACTCCTTCAGTTTAATGTTTCATATGTGAATTCTGATTAGTGTCAGTCTTCATCATTTGATGATGTATTTCTAATTATATTCTAAAGTCTTGTTTTTCCAATCTGTCTTACCTCTTTTCCTTACGGTTTCATGGGATATCTTCTGAATCTCTTAATACTAAATTGGTGATTTCTATACCGACTCCATGATAATCTGACACTCTTAGCTAATAGAAGCATGTCATGTGAAGTGGCTTTGATGTCCTATGATCGTTCAAATTCAGATATTTAAACTTCACATATGCAAATGAAGAAACTGAAATTTTATTAAAAAAAAATCATATCATCTTTGATGCAAAAACCATTAAAAATTAGAAGTCAGATTGTTTTCTCTATGTCTATTAAAGCATATATTTTCCAGGTAAATAAACTCTGATACACATTTTATTCAAGTTCTATAAAATAAATTAACTTTCCTTCACTTCTTTCATATAAATAGCATAAAATTATCAAGATAAAGATTTTATTTTTAATTCTTTGCGCTTTAACACTACAAGAAAAAAAAATGTTGTTGACGCAGGTGTAATAATTTGAACTTATCTTAATCAGGATATCCTTTTTAATTTCTAAAGAAAAACCCAAATGAACACAAACAAAAAAGGACAAATAAAATTTACTATTGTAAGTACTTTATCAGGCTATGACAAAGATACAAAGAAATAAAATATACTTACAACAAGCAACAGCAGCAGCAGTGATAATTTAGCAACAACAACAAAATTTATAAGAATTAAAAAGTCTAGATAAGAGTGATAAGGTTTTAATAAACCGTCGCAAAAAAACGAAAAGAAATAAAGGGCAAATTTAAGAGGAAATTATGGAAATATTAAAAGTAATCTACAGAGGAGGGGAAATAAATTTAAAAGTTTTTAAAGAAATAAAGCGAAATATTTAAAACTGTTTGTACTTTTTTTTTCGCTGCGTATGTGTATTTTTTATTTATAGCAAAAATCCTGCCTCCAGTACGTATGATTGTTATTTATTTAAATTTATTTTTTTTCGTCTTAAAATTTAAATTGTGTTGATTTAATTTTTTTATATTTTTAAAATGGAATCACTTGAATGAAATTATTTAAATTCCTTAAAATTACATATTTGTCCATAAAGCCAAAATAAAAAAATATAAATAAATTCCAAACGGAAAAGAAATGTTAACCATGATAAACATTTTATAAAAAAACTAGTCACCAACATACTACGTTCAAAGCATATGCATGTATGCGTGTGTGTGTAGTAATGTCACCAACTTTTAAATAGTTATATGTAAATGTATTTCAATTTAAAGAGTGACAAAAATAACTTCTACAAAATATTTTTTATGTGTTTTATGTACATGGTTATCAGACTTCATGAACAATTCTTTGTGATTATATTTGAGACTCTACAATCTACTG